TTCGTAGACCCACCATATCTGTCTTCCTCGATCTACAATTGGTCTTCGACTCAGTCGGCCGCTCTAAACTCTGACACTAATTTTCTCTGAAAGGTGTGCCCGAGAAGTTTATTTCAATATTACGATCCCTTTATAATAATAGTCGAAGCCGAGTCTGAACTTATGACACTTTTTCGCCCGAATTCACCAGAGAAAGCGGTTCTCGTCAGGGTTGCCCCCTCTCTCCTTTTCTATTCAACTTTGTCATGGTTTCGAGTATGGAGACAGCCCTATCCGCATGCGAGGATAGTAGCATTAAGGTGCTTCCGGGTCGTAGACTGTCTGATCTTGAGTATGCAGACGACATGGTGCTGCTAAGCGAAGATCCAGGTAACTTTTCTGGATAGCTCGAGTACCAGCGTAGCCATTTTCGGTATGCATTTTCCACCTTCAAAGTGTAAAATGCTACTACCAGCACCCAGCCCCACTCTGACTAGCAAAGTAATAGAACAAGTGAATAAGTTTCGTTATTTTGGTAGCAATACCTCACTTTGTGAACCTGTCACAGATGAAGTGTAGACTAGCATACAGAAGGTTTGATTAGCATTTTCCAGCTTGAGACACCTGTGGTGCCACCGCGACATCCGACTGTCCGTGAAGGATCGAGTGCATACTGCGGCCGTTCGTCCAGTTCCGCTATAATGCGCAAAACTTGACAATTCAGGGAACAGCATCAAGATAGAATGTCGATTTTCGAAAACCACTGTTTTCGCAGCATTCCACGAATTTGGTGGGGCAACCGGACGAGTAATGCTGAGATTAGACATCCACTGGAGCAAGTGGTCGAAATCCATAGATTATGTTGGTTGAGGTATGTGTTACGCATGCCACCAAACAGGTTGACACGGCGCGCGTTGTCTGCTAAGTCAGGCAGGGGGTGCAATGACGCCAAGGGTGGTCAAACTCAGACCTGGTTTGAGGGCACGTAATCCCTGACCAGGAAACTAGTTCCCTGGATGGGAACCTCGGAATCATTATAATCAAGGGCTAGAGACACTGAGTAATACGATTGAATGTGATAAATGGTGGCGTTCGTGCATCTCAATTTATTTGCAACTTTAGTCTACTGAAATTTTCCATTTCCTCTCTCTGACTACCTCCAATTATCCTATCTTTCTTCTACTCTTTCACCCAAATGGGCAACCAAAAGACAGCGAGCAAAAACCGGCGCACGAAAGTGCATGGTTAATGGTTGTACACAATTAAACTGAAAACACACTGCGTTTTATTTCAGTAGACAGCAATTCAGTCCTTTCGCCTTCGAAACTCAACTCACCTTTTCTGCATACTGCTAGGCTGACCTTCATAAACTGCGGTGCAACACTCGCCACTGTGTGCTGAATACAGCCCTTTGTCTAGCAGAGGAACTACAGGTGTTACAGTTAAAAACGAACGCGCCAGGGTTGAGGGAGTTATCTATTCGGAGCAACGACGATACAAGTAAATTGGGTTACCTAGACGGAAGCGCCTCATTTGAAACAGATCAATCATAATTTTGACAAGCACGTAAGGCTATTGATGGAACCTTCCGACGGTAGATGTGCATTGTTTATAGTTACAATTTTGAACACACTGATTCACTCCAGAGGCCTTTTTGATTTCTGACTGTTGTGAGAAACCAGCAATCACATCTTTCTTGCACGTGTTTCGAAGATACTACTAACAAATGCGAGTAGTACCCTAAAACATAGGTCATACAATTTCGATATACTCGCTTGACGAACAATCCCCTGAAGTTGTCAATTTGACTGAGATCATGATAACAAGTGGGCCACTCTGACTAGGTGGAAATTCGATCTAGCTTTTGTGATT